ATCGTTTGCAAACAGGAATTATATTAGTAATGCAAGGCCTTTCCAGTTTAGAAATATTCAACGATTAGAATTTGAAACAGAAAGATCTCCTGCTATCAAGCAAAATATGTACTTATCCCTTTAAAAAAAGCACTAGTAGAGTTTCTGGTTTGTCTGGAAACAGCAAGACTAATTGCCATGCGCTTCCGGTTTGAAACTGGCAGCAGACAACATCTTGAAAATGAGTCACTGGAGCAAACAAAGAAACGCTTGACTTTTCCAAATGTTCGGGTTTTCGCAGACCTAAAGCTTTAGCTTTTTGCTTTGCTGTCATTCGTGATTTTCCAATAGAGATGTAAGGCGACATAAAGAGAGAGCGGCCTGTCGCGGGCTGTCGTTTTTTTTAAAGGCTGAAGTAGGTCGTTTTCGTAGAAAAGGGGCGATGCGGCACTGAAGCGAATATAGAACTCGTTGGATTTTCCACTGGTAGAGAACAGGAAGAGAGCAGATTTAGTCATGGCTAAGTAATGTCTGCACACACCAACTAATCTCATTAGGAGTTTCCGTTCTCCAACACAGGAGGGTTTTTGTACTACCGAGGGAGACTTCTAAACCTTTGCATCTGAAAAGGAAACAAGTCACATCTTTTTTTTTTACAAGTGGAATGTTTAAATGGTTGCCTTGTATACGCCTGTGGAGCCCATAGGTACCCGTGTTGTCGTAAATTGATTTAGCTTACGTGAAATAGTAAATCCTCAATATCAGGGAAATGAACGCCGAAGGATCTCCAAAAACAATAGGCCGCACATACAAGCTTATTGTAAGACGCGATCTTCACTAAGGGTGATGAGGTAAATTTGTAGAAACAGCACAATGTTGAACTGCCCGTTGGTGTGATGTCTTCGCAGTTGCATGAGTTCAGGACATTGGGTGGCAGGGTAGTGTGGTTAAAGAGCTTTTCTGGTACAAGTACAAGTGGAGGTCAGAGGCATGCTGAGGATTGCAAAGAAACGTTTATTTTGGACCGTGGAGCCTATATTAGGTGTTTGAATTATCCTCTCCTAGGTCTTGGATAGTATCATAGATCTTTTTACATCTCTAGACTTTTGGTTTCAAACGATTCCCATGTCAGAGGTGAGTCCAGTGATCTTGGGCCAGCTAAAATCTGACATTAAAAGGCTGCACCACAGAGTTAGGGGTCCTAACTGGAAAATGGTGGGCTCAGATCTTGGATGGATCACAATAGGGCAACAGCCTATTAAGTGCATTGGTCTAGCCTTCTGATCTGCCTAAGATGAGAACTGATGACGGACTGAAGCTTGAATCTCTCTATTGGTGGTGGTTTAGATGCATAAGAACATACTTTATAAAAATGAGGAGAGCATTCTGTCATTAGGGGCAGCCTGGACTACAATATCCCCCTTCAGATATATCAGGCTTCTTCAGAAGGAAAAAGTGAATATTAAAAAAAAAAAATGGATAATTCAATATATATGTTTTTTAAGCCTACTAACCAAGCACAGAAGAATCGTTAGGCTTTGAGGAATTTGTGGCCACTGTAATTGAGCTGAGCACATAAATCTCAATCCTTTAATACTGTCTATTAAGCTTCCAGTTTAATTTAGTTTTTGTGTTGTTGGATAGCATACACTAATGTAGGAAAAGGACGTCCACCAGCCTTGTATTGGAAAGGAAAATAAAAAAGTCAATGATGGCAGTAAAACGGAGAAATGGTCAAGTCTAGTAAAATTGGATTAGTGATGCAGCTTCCAAAGTCTTAACAAATTGTAGTTCCCTGTAGAGCACTTAATGTAGGGCAAATAGTTGTATTCTAACCAGCTGTTGTTAGCTGAATGGTGCAGCATCTTCACCACGAAGAAGCTTGCGTGAATGCTTGTGTTCTCCTGCAGCCAGTGCCTTATGTTTGTTTAGGTGTTTGTTTTAGACCTGCTGTGAGAAATGAATCATGGGATGCATTGTGCAGGCAAATGTGAAGAGCTTCTGACAAACCTGCAAATAGCTGCATTCAGTTTGTCTCTCTGGCAGGGTTAGAACCAATAAAACAATGAGTCATTATTTTGAAAGTCCAAGTTACTCTAGAGGAAGTAAAACTCAAATATACTATTTGTTTTGATGCGTGATTACAATGAACACAGGACAGAACAGCTCCCAGTGAGGTACTGAATGCATTCTTAGTTGTCTTCTTGTGTCACCAGGCACTATCCTCTGTGTATTTGTAACTTCAGCAAGTTACTGTATATGCAGTAAGAGAAGGTGGAGGAGTAGTTTGTGATTGAATGCTTTTTGATTTCACATTCACAATCAGAACCTGGTAGAAAGTTTTAAAACCAAGAGTTTTTTTCCCCCAAGTAGAGCCCAGTACAGAGCCAATGTTCCAACCACAGAATCCTTGAAAATACCTCACTGAATAACTGAAGCTCCACCATTTATTTGTCGTATTCAGATTAAAATAGATAGAACTAGTGTGTAATATTTTGAAGCTCCTGCAAAGTTTAAAATGATCAGAAGTGAACATTAAACTGCTTTATATACTGTATATGTGAACAGGATGCATGGAAAATACATTTGTGTCCTTGCACAGTTCTCATTATCTTAAAAATGAAATTTTTAACAACATCATCTTTCAACAATTCCTTTTCTTAAAAAACAGAAATATAACAACAGCGAAAACAAGTTCAAAAAGCAGAGATGAGAAATATCATAAAGAAACATATTTATATGTGTATGGAAACAGTATTTTCCTTTTCTCCATGTATGAGTATGCTGTAGATCCCTGGGGTCTTCCCCCCCTAAAAACAAGCCAGACCAGTTCCAAATCATTTTTTTTATTTCACCCAGAAGGAAAAGGAATGTTTTTTTTTCCTTTGTGCACGAATTTGCACATTAGCTTTGGATGGGTCATGTCGCTAACTTTTTTTCTTATGAATTGTGCATACTGAACAAGTCTTGTAGTATAGTTTTCATACAGTTCAGGTAAATGGGAATGCAAAACAAAAGAGAAAACATCCCACTTCGATTTGGAGTTTGAGTTGTGTAGCACCAGAGCTGAAGAGGAAAGCTTCCATTTAGAGAAACTTTGCAGTTAAAACATTTCCGATCTCTCCCGTGGCAGGAATTCCTACCTTTTTGTTTTGGATCTGCTTTCCCAGGAAGACGCCTTCAAAGTATAATAGGAGGAAGTCCTGATTTAGACAGTTTTATAGTGTGCAACGCAGATGCAGAACTCGGAGGATGCATTGACGGGAAATGTTTTATTTTGCTTCTTGTGGAAAAATCTGCATCATTCCATTTTACCTTCTCCATACATTCCCTAATGTGCAGTGAAGTACAGACACTTGTGGAGGCTCCGATGCAGGCTGAGGTCATTCTTAGCTGGAGGGACTGGGTAACAGCAAGACCAGGGAGAGATTTCAGGCTTCAACTGTATGTGCGTGGGTAAAAAAAAAAATTCAGCTACGGTGAATGTGGTCTCTTTAGTGCTGGACTCTCTTTTGGCAGAATGTTTGCACACTTCCAACCACATCCTCTTTTGTCATCAAGAAAACATGCAAGACTCAGCCCTCTAGTTTGGAATCCTGCTATTTATCTGGCGTTTTTTGTACAGGAAAGCAGGGGCATATATGCCTGACATATTCAAGCTTTACTGCTGCTCTTTCCCCTCTCTATCTATAATGTTTGATGGCGAAGCTGTTTCTAGGCTCAGCCTCAATCTGGAATCAACGAGGTGCTGGGGTGGTTGGTCTCGGGGTGTCTGCTGATTAGGGCTGTAAGGTGGTCGGTTAGATAAAACATTTGGTTTTGTTCCGAGTGGCAGAGTAAGTGCAAATTTCCGAACAACAAGATTGGGACAACTATTGCAAAATCAATTCCAAGTTAAACTTTAGTAGTCAGCTAGGACGGCAGACCAAATAAAGATTTGAAATGTTGTAGTCAAGTTAATAGAAAAATTCACTCTTGTTCAGTAGCTATTTAATTCAAAGAAATCTCCAATCTTACCCCGCACACACTAGATCAAATTTGGGTAGTGTACAACTCGGTAGTGGACCAGAAAGAAAATGATATATTAGGTATATATCCCCATTAGATACTTCAATATTTGACTAGAATATCGAGGCTGAGGTGAGTCCACTAGGGCAGCGAGGTGGTGCAGTGGTTACCATTGCTGCCTTGTGGTGCTGGGGCCCTCGGATCAGTTCCAGGCCTGGGTGCTGTCTGTGCGTAGTTTGTATTTTCTCCCCGTGTTTATGTGGGTATTCTCTGGATGCTCCAGTTTTCTCCCACAGTCCAAGGATCTACTGGTAGTTTAATTGGCATCTGGGAAAATTGGATCTATGTGTCAGTGTCTGTGTGTCTGCCCTGTGGTGGACTGACATCCTGGGATATATTTTGGCTCCCCTTTGATCCTGAATCGGAAGAAGGGTTTAGAAAATGGCTGGCTCAGTCCAATTGGATATCTTTTTGGCCAACCAGTGCCGTGAACAGAAGATACATGCAGCTGACCACACTTTTACAAACTGAAAGCAATGGCAAAGGAACTGTGGCAGAATACCCCACAGCAGTCTGTCCAGAGGCTGATCAGGTCTGTTTGTCAGTGCTGCTATGAGTGGCCTAATTTGTAAGGAATTCATACCTGGTGAGAACATTACAGTGTTCATATTTAGATATTTTGAGGCTCGATACTGCAAGTTTTTTTTTCGTTGGTCACCTTTTCTGTGATTTTTGTTTGATATTAGACCTGCATGCTGCATTTCTTATGTACATCAGTAACCTATTAATAGAAACACAGACTCATTGTCCAAACTATTATGCATTTGGAGTTGAATGAATAGACTCTCTCAGTGGACCGCAATGCATGGTTGACTGGAGGAGCATTGAATAGACTTCTCTGGCCAGAACAATCTCCAGATCTCCTGATGAAAATGGTCCAGGAATGTTTTTTTTAGTTTTGTATTGGGCTTGTTGTTTCTTGAAACATTAAAATGATTACAAATATGTTCAGAAAAAGAAAGCTGGTTTAAGCAGTGGAGTTTGTAATTCATTCTTAGATGCTATTGCCCAAAACAAAACCTGAACTGAAGTGGATACCTACAGTAATATGATTGGGCAGCAACTATTTTTATTACCTAGTGGTATACAAACAACATCTTAAGTTGCTCTGTTTGCAGAGGCTCAAAGCTGCAACTGCATTATTCATTTGGGATGCAGTGTGTATATTGCCTTACCTAACTGTAACCTAACCTGTACCTACCTACCTAACCTAATTGAATACCTGTAACAGCAGGTTAGTCCACCTCCAATGGCAGTAACAGCTGCAACACATTGTGGCATTAATTCAACCAGATGTTCACTGCAATCTGGGACTACTCAGCAAGCACTAGTAGAGGCAGCTCTGCTTAAGATATGGCTAGCAGGGAATTGTGTCAGATCCAGTGTTCCATAAAAATCCCACATACAGTCTAGGGGCCATAAACATGAAGTCAAAGTTGTGTGAAATGACATTAGCCAGGTATGCTATAACCTTCAGAGATACACCAGAGACACATCAACAATTTCTTACTTCTTAAGAGGACAGTTACCTCAGCCGTCCTTCCCCAAAATACAGCACCCTGAGAAAAAGACCAGGTATGATTATACCTTACAGTGCTCATGAATTATGGAGTGTATCACATGCTGGGCAATTTCCACTGCTTAGTACAGAATGAATCACTCCTGTGGAACATGCCTTACTCTAATGGTTTGGCTATGCATATGCATAAAATACAAACTATGTGAATCAGACCTTTGTGTTTAAAGCAGAAGAGTTATAGAGTCTGGTTTGCCAGAGACTAAATGTTCTCCTCTCATTTCTAACCTGTTTTAGATCTACAGTAGGAGGTTCTGTCTTGACAGCGCATTTGCCCAGCAGTAAGCTTTGAGAGTCGCCTTGGCTTCAGGTTTCATCTTTGCGCTGCATGAAAGGACTTTCAGCATCAACCCCATTCCTATGTTAATGAAAACGTGACGCACCAATTCTCCCTAGAAGTATATTGAGCATTGCTTAATTGAAGGTGTGTGTGCGGTCTCCATCTCTAGAAATGTAAATGCTCTGACCACTAAAAGCAAAAGTTATAACATAAGCAGACATGTTACAAAGAACCCAACATTTCCTAGTCATTAGATACCTTTAAAGAAGAGTATAACGACATCTGCATAAACTGTACATATGTTGATATGCAACCCTTGGCTTGATTCACTTCCTGTAGAATGGAGCCTGTGAACCACACGTAGTTCTGGCACAGATCTCCACTGTTTCTCAGCAGTACACCCCTGATGGCTGGCTGGAAGCCTAACCTTGGCTTTATTCTATAAAGGAACTTTCCCCATCATTCCCCCTAGGAAGACAAAGTTGTGTTCAAAACAGCTTTATTGCTCCATAGAAGATCTCAGTCTCAGGAAGAGTCTGGCCAGTAAACATGAGTTTCTGGTTGAGCTGTGACTAGTGATTTAAGGTGCTTTTTTTCCATCAGTGCTTTTTTATTAGTTATGTGGGACCATGCTAGCTATAGCATTTAGGCTGAAGAATAGAAGCTAATATTATGTTCCACTACAATCTTGAAGGCTTTTCTGTTGAGGTTGAAACATTTGCATAGGAATTGCTTTGCTCTTTAAATTACATTAATCGCCGAGCCTTCTCAACCACATTGCGAATCAGTTTTTAAAAGAGAGCTCCAGACATTCCTGAGGTCAGATCTGAATTTCATCATAAATTATTCCTGAAGAATCAAGTGAAAGCAAACTACTTTAAACAGCTCATGTTTGCTTTGGATGAGAGTGGTGTAACACAACAGGTGATGTTTAGGTGCAAAATAAATTATATTCCTTAAGCAGTTACTTAAATATGTAAAGTAATTGAGAGCATTGCTCTAATTAAAGTATATGTAATTTGGGTTTAATAGTACATTTGTTTTCGCAGTTCTGTGAATTCAAGAAAAAACAGTTTGCTATGGAAAGCAGTCTTGTAAAGAGTACACATACGGCAATGAAATCTGAACAGAAAAGGCATGTAGGAATCAGCAACATAACCTGAGGTGGAAAACAAAAACAGAGATGTTTCCCTGGTGGAAAATAAATAAGGAGTTTTGTTGACTTCCAGGCATTGTGTAGCTGTTAAAAAGATCCTCAAGATTCTCTGACTACAGTAAATCACATGGTCATGATGAAGGTGTTCAGTGCAGTGGGGGCACATTATCAATACCCTGCTCATATATTAACTACAAAAGGATACTGTGAAATACAGTAGAACAACATCTCTTCAGAACTGGAGAACGTTGGCAATAATGACACCAAACAAAATTGAATCCCTTTAGCCTTGTTAAGCAAAGACATCAGAGTGAATCTGAAAATCCATGTAAATGCCAATCTAAATTATTCTTGCAGATAACCTGAGACAAGCTCATCCCGTTCAGCAAAGGGTTGCTATCGGAAATGTTGCATTTTGGACACTGTGTGAATGAGCTGGGCAGGTGTTGGAAGGCCAGTTCTTGCTCTTTGTTTCTCTTATGTTCTGTTGTAGAAAGGATTCCTCACTCCAGGTTATATCTGCCCACAATAATAATAAAACAAATAACATCCTGGGCTATATGAGGATTTTTCTGCTGAATCATCATTTCTCTCTATCTTAACAATTAAAAGGTCAGTAACACTTGCAAGGATGGTATGTAAGCAATTGGCTAATCGTTTTATGCAGAGGTCTGCAGATCTGACATCTCTCTTTTGCAAGTTTCTTACAAATCTGCACTGGAGTGATGAAAGGATATTGAAATTGCCAGGATTGTTTAAGGAGCAACAATAGATAACAATATAACGATACTTTATCAGACATCTTGTAAATTTATTTGTCACGTTGTTTTCTTTTGCTACTGCAAAACTGCAAGAGCGTGTTGATGTTATGTTGAATTAATGAGTTACGCTTTTTGAATTTTTATCTGCCTGGGGATGGAAAACGTTCCTTAATTACACATTCAGTGCAGATGAAACTCTAATTGTACTGGAAAGTATCGGTAGTGCATCGCTTAGATCAGTTTCTCTGTAAACTCAGCTCAAAATGTTGGAATCACATTACACAGAACTGTTGGACTGTTGTGAAGAAATTGTGATGATTTCAGGTAGAATTCATCTTCCTCCCTTCCCCAGGAGCAAAAAGCAGCTGGAGGTCAAATGCCTTTTGTTTTTTTTTTATTCTTTTTTTTCTAGTATTATGCCGATAAGTATCAATCAGCTTCTTTTCAGTGAATTGGAAATCTTGAAATCTGTTAATTGGAAGCTCGGCAGAACTGAACAGCAGGCGAATGTGTGAGATTCAAGGCAGAGTATTACGCTTTCTGCTGTGTTTTAAATGATCCATGTTGTGTGCTCCTTCTTCTTCTTCAATTCACAGTAATGGAGAGTGCCATCACCCTGTGGCAGTTCCTGCTTCAGCTGCTGTTGGACCAGAATCACAAGCACTTGATCTGCTGGACGTCCAACGACGGGGAGTTCAAGCTGCTGAAGTCTGAAGAGGTTGCCAAGCTGTGGGGGCTTCGCAAAAACAAGACAAACATGAACTACGACAAGCTCAGCAGGGCTCTCCGATACTATTATGACAAGGTAAGGGAATAAAATCTAATTGTCCTTAATGCTTTGCACCCACACATGAAACTGAATAAGGTCATTCTTACTAGAAGCAACGGGGGATTCAGAGACACCTGGAAAGGCTATCTGTTTTAATAGTAAATAATCTCTCGGGCAGTAAAATTGAAGGTCCTTCTTTCAGCTTAGGAAGTCCTGTTATTGCTGAAAATAAACTGCTGGTCTTTCTTTTGTAAAATCTTCCTAAAACTCCTTGAGTCGTAATTTAACTGGTCATTAAAATCAAAACAAAACAAAAGTAGATCTCTTATTTGAAGAACTTAATACACGTGCAGTTTAAATTCTGTCTGTTCTGTTCTTGGAAACTTTTTCGCTAGCTTGGGTTTCGAATGAGGAGGCTGAGCTTCATCAAACTCGTCAAGCTAGTTCTTCAGAAAATAGCATCAGGACTGTGTTTCGTGTCTCCCATGAAACAGGTGCATGGTATTTCCCTTCTAATAGGATATCTGCTTCGATCTTCTTCCCCTTTGGTGTTTACAAAGGAGATCTGTGTTGAATGAAAATACCCTTCATGCCTTTGCTTATGTCATCTCACATGAAGGATCAGCAAGATTTAGAGTCCGGTAACATCACCTATATGCGTCTGTACGATAGAAGCCTTATTGACTTATGGACTTATTGACTGTGTTAAGAATAAAGGAAAAGACCATCTAATCCTGCTGTTCTTTTGTTTTGCTGATATTCAGTGTTTTCAACTGGGCCACACATTGTCCTTATAGAAAAAAACATAATTTATTCAGGTCTTTACTAGTGAGTAAAATCAAGTCAGTGCAAGGAATTCTATGTAATGCCCACTTAGAAAGCTTTTCCTTCTTTCTTTTTTGAAATAAAATTTTACTTCTTTTATGAAATAAAAAAAGTTTAGCTTGTGTATCACGACAACGTCCTCTGAACATGTAAGTTTGAGCAGTGTAAGACCGGCAGAGGGGATCATGGTTAGTGTCTCCTCAGGTGATCACAAGCAGGAGCTCACCTGTGTTGCTGGGAACGAAGAAAAGCACTTAAATGTGCCTTGCAATGAGGTCCAACCTTTTGGAGACGGGGGATCACGCTCACGTGTGGTGCGAGGGCCCTGGGTTTTTCCTCTGGGAAGGTGTGGATGGATTGCGCCAACCGTTACACATCAGTCATACGTCTTCAGTTAGCAAGATGCCTGGATTAAGTTGAAGCAGAATACGTGATGCATGTTAAGAAGCGCGTAATGGCACTTTCCTCCCGTGTCTTTTCAGAACATCATCAAGAAGGTGATCGGGCAGAAGTTTGTGTACAAGTTTGTGTCGTTCCCGGAGATCCTGAAGATGGACCCGCAGGCGGTGGAGCTGGGGAGGGAGGGCGTGGCCCTGCAGGATGTGGACTCCCTCGGCCTGGAGGCCAAAGAGCAGCTCAAGCTTCCTCTGGCCACCCTCAGGACCGCCGGCCGCAACGACTACATCCACTCGGGCCTGTACTCCTCCTTCACCGTCAGCTCGCTGCAGAACCAGCCTGAGCTCTTCAAAGCCATCAAGGTGGAGAAGCAGGACGAGCTGGGGGAGGGCAAGCTGGGCCCCGAAGAAGTGCGGACGGTGATCCGCTTTGTCACGAACAAAACGCCGAAGGCCGGGGCTCTGCCACTGGTGTCCGTGCCGTCCTCGCCTCCCGTGTCCTCGGCTGAGGCCGCCGCCTCCTCCAGCCCTTTCTTCCCTTCCTCCTCCTCCCTCTCCAAAGCCTCCCCCACTTTGATGTCGGCCCTTGCCTCCAACCTCTCCTCCTCGCGCTCCCCCTCCCCGTCCCCTAGTCCTTCCTTCCTGCTGGGAAACCAGAGCCCCGATCCGGAGACAGATGACTCGGATCTGTGTTCCCAGCCCCTCAACCTGTCGGCCAGCCGCAAGGCCAGATCCCCGCACCTGTCTGAGAAGAGGAACAGCAGCGCCCTTCCTCCCAAAGCCAAGAAGCCCAAAGGCCTGGAGATCTCGTCCCCCTCGTTGTTACTCTCGGGCACCGACATTGGCTCCATTGCCCTCAACAGCCCAGCACTTCCCTCGGGGTCTCTGACACCGGCCTTTTTCACTGCACAGGTCAGTCGCTCGTGCTCCCCCTCCTCCCCCTGCTTGTTAAGATGTCACGGGGGTTAAACAGCCACCCCTTGCTACCAGAATTTTGACAGCTTCTGAATTCCATTTTCAGCTCCGCAGCTTTGACTTGAAGGGGTGACGAGACTCACTTCAGGTCTGTGGCTCCGGCTGGGAGAGATTAAGCCCAGGACAGTGAAAGTCCCAGTCAGGGCTTGTGCAGAGTAAGCAAGGGTGATTTTTTGTGGACGGGTTTAGCAGGAATATATATTGGGGAAGCTGTACAAAAATAACCGGCCAACAGACTTTGTCCTACCTGATTGCATTTGTATACAGTCAATTCAAGCCATTGCTAAGACGGCATGCCCTCTGCACAAGTTAAGAATTTCAGATAAGCTTGATACGCGTTTAGACTTTGGTTCATCAGAGATGTCCCCAGTGTTGGGCTTCCATTAATTGCAGTTTAAAAGTGGGCTACTTTTATTCTTGATATGGTAAGTCATGCTTATTTTACGGAAGTAGCATTGATTTCATTATAACAGGTAGAAGTGTACTTGTCGTATTAGAGGGGTTGCAGCACAAGCCATAAGTGCAGATCGGATAGAAACAAAATTCCACTTATGAAAAATATACAAAATAATGCTTGGAGTTTTTTCTCCACCCTTGGTTGCTTCCTTGGATAATACTGAGCTCTTTTTGAAGGGTTGTGATGAATACCCTTTTCTTCTTTTGTCTGAGCTTCAGTGGATCTGTCAAGTTTTTAGTCAAGTGGACGTAGTCCAGGTCATGAAGTCATTTTCCCTAAAGCATAACTTTCAAACAAGGCAACTGCCTTAAGTAAAACACCCTAGCAATAATTTGGCTTAGTCAATATTACTAAGATATGGAAGTTTTGCTGTGCTCTCTAATTATATTATTTCTACTGGCACATGAACATCCTCAAAAATCTGTTCTTTACAAAGATCAGATTGTGAGCTTTGGTTTAGAGCTTTAGAACAATTCTTGTAAAAGTGTTTTGTAAGGACTGTACTGTAAGCAGTACACAACATAAGTCCAGAAAGAAAATGGAAGACACACACATCTTTATGCAGACTAGGGTATAGAAAAAAACCCATAAGTGATGCCATATGCTCTTAATACCATGAATCATGAACTAGAGTCTTGGTTCCTAAGTAACACTGGCTCACTTCATTTAGGTGACAGCGTAGAAAGGAGAAATTGATTTCATATGTCCTATTAAAAAGCCTGATCCTGATTCTGGGGTCCTTGACCCACAGAGTTACGTGAATCAGCCGTGTTGTTTTGACCCCTAAACTGCTTTCTCTCTAGTCCTTAGGAGTCAAAATAACTAGCCATTCATAACCTCATGAGTGCAGTGGGGATGAATACTTTTAGCTATGTTCTTGTCAAGTGGAGGTCTGAGACTGAGGGTAACCCACGTCCCCAAAGCTGTCTGAAATGTTTCTCCCAAGAACAACAAGTAGATTAGTTCTTTGACTTGTACTCTTATTGTACTGTATTAAATTTCCACTGCCTGTGGCAGGGCTCTCGTTTTAAGCAGATAATATTCGGAACGAAAACATTTTGTTTTCATGAGAATTGTGGTTTAATAAACACTCTTCTTGTCGTTAAAGGTTACATGGTGGCTGGGGTGGGGTTGGATACTTTGAAAATCTGGTTTGCTAAAAAAAACCCCACAAAAGCAGAACATGATACTTATAATCCAGAACTGGTTGTTAAACACCTAAGACCATTATGCAAATAGTGCAGATGTGAGGCGACACTTGACAACTTCATATGCAGATTGACAGTGAACAGAATTGTTTAATTTGGTACTGTACAACTGCATTTAGAATTCCGCAATTTACAAGAAGCAGCACAAAGGTTTTAGTGATTATGAAGACAAAGTGCTGTACAGTATGTGTGTCAAGGTCTTGTACCCTATACTATCATGGATAATCTCTTTATCACTGCATTGCTCCTGGATCTCAATCGATCAGGTACTCAGGACCATAGTTTCATTTGCTAAAGTAAAGGATGGCAACCCCTACAACACAGTGTCTCCAGGCATCATAATGGGGCATTGGGTTTGAGAAATTTGGGGTGCAGATACGGCTGGTGAAGAACTTGAAACTGATTGGTTTGTTGTACTAAAAGGACAGCAACAACAGTCTGAAAACACAAATGAGAAAGTAGGTAGTTTAGGCCATTCCAGAGAAAAAATACAAATAAAAAAACATTGAGGTTTTTTATGTTAACAGTAGCTGGAGAATTTTAACAGTATGCAGATTCTGTTTTTATATTATTAAAGGTTTTTAATTCTATTATCATTACTTTGAGTTAAAGAAGTGGAAAGGGATATTTCCAATGTTATGGTCTCATAATAGGATAATACGGAGTAATAATCTAAAAGACTTTACAACTGAAAAGGAGACAGAGCTATACAAATGGCTCGTAATTATGTTACCCTAAAGTTGGGTGTTTATGACACTGAGCTGAGCATGAAATATTTTTTCAGGGCACACTGTAAGACTAGGAACTCCTTGCAGTTGCGTGGAACTCCAAATGCTTTTGGACTGAATGACTGCATAAACTAGAAAACTGCATTTACAAGGTCTCGTTCCTTATGGATGTTGTTAAGTACAGCTTGGGATTTGAACTAGTTGTCTATAAGTGGTAACATAGATACACAACCACTGCTTCAATTTAATCTTTTCACCACGCAGAAAAGTTAAGATTTATTAAACACTATTCCAGTACGTTAATCAATCCCATAACTCAATTCTGTCAAATAAATTGCTTTCAGTGACTGTTTATGTTAATTCTTGCTCCCATTTGAATATACTGTGTTAGATTAGGGAGCCAAGTAAGTGTTCAAGATCCAAAGGATCAAACAGGTTAATTCTATGCTGAAGAGAAAAGAACAATGTTGACCTTGCAGCAGACCCTTCTTGGTGTGTATGAAGGAGAGGACTGACTTTGTCTCAGATTTCTGCTCTTTTTATCCTCCAGGTACCTAAACAAGGCACCTCTGCTAAAACATTGTTTTTTTTTCTCCTCAGTGTGGAAATAATTGATCCTTTTGAGTATGTTCAATCAATAGTTCTGTTGTGTATCATCTTTCAGAGAACTATACATTTAATTATTTTTAAGTATTAATTAACTATAGCAAAATGCTTATTTCCTTTCAGCATGGAACAAACCCTTACCTGTTCATTATACAACTTATTACACAATTGAAATCACTTGACAGTACAGCTTTCAAACCTCTGTGTAAGATCCAGCAACCTTGCATTTTTTCACCTTTTACACCTTTTACCTTTTGCAGTCCCTTGAGTATGTCTGAGTTTGAACATTTGCATTTCCCTTCAGGAGAAAGTAATGATCATTAGAAACAACATCATATTTCATGTCTCAGCTGACTGCTTAAGTGAATCAGCTTTTGATATTTTATTTGATCTTATATTTTTCTGCTTGGCCAGGGTTTTAACATTTGTTTTTCTTATGTTTACAAGGAGCCTGTCTGATACTCAAATGTAGGCTTGTTTCCAGGAGATACAAGGACAGATACAGGATTACTGAAAAAGCAGTCAAAAAGAACTGAACAATTGCAGTAAACAATGAAAGAACCTTTTAAGAAGGTTTGTTGACGCAACTGCAGTCAGGCACAAACTCACAGACAGTATAGAGCCATTACCGCACATCAGCTCTGTGCAACTATCACTTAAAAAGCTGAAAAGAGAAAACGCAACGTTTCGGCTGTGAAGCCCTCACACCTGAAGAAGGCTTAACAGCTGAAACGTTGTGTTTTCTCTCTTCTCTTTTCAGCATGGAATAAACCTATTTCTTGTTGCAGACTATGCATGCTGACTCAGCTACCCACCTGAACTACTATCACTTAGAAATATGCTGATATGTAGCAACTGTAGGCTCAGAAGTTATCATGCAATTAAAAAAAAATCAGATTTGTTTTTAATGTTATTTCCTCCTCATTCAAGTAGAGTGGATACATTTGATGTGAAACTTTTTTAATACTGTAGGTGTTGGGCACAGATCTATAATATTAGCTATCGTTCTCTACTTTCAAATGAAAGAAAATATCAGACTGTAAAAATTCATGTGAATGTATTGTCTCCTTTTTAAAGTGGTCTAGTTATAAACTGCAGGTTGCACTAGTTAGTTATTTCTCTTAGCATGTGGATACAAATAATGGGCGATTCGGTGCACAATCTGAAAGAGACTTGTAGTTTGTCAGTTTGATTACATCAAAACTGCAAAAAAAAAAAATCAGCCGGGCACATAGAAAAAGGGAATGTATTCAGAAACTGCATTTGCCTGACTCTTCCTGCTCCGTGGGTTACTCCACAGGGAATCCTTAATTAATTGTTTTCCTTATGCCAAGTGTTGTGTGCAATGTTTCTTTGAATGGTAACCTTTGCTGTACTCTGTTTCTGTGTCTTTGCAGACTCCTACGGGACTGTTGTTAACACCCAGTCCTTTACTGTCCAGCATTCACTTCTGGAGTAGCTTAAGTCCAGTTGCTCCTTTGAGTCCCGCCAGGCTGCAGGGACCCAATTGCTTATTTCAGGTAACAGCACTAACAAAACTCTTATTCATGAATTATGAATATTTTGTCTCGGTATAAACAGAGGAGAAGTTTACATTTCTTTTAATGAAAATGTATTTTGCACTCAATGAATGCTATGTAATCTACTTTGGATATAAATTAAAAATAGGAAGACCGTTTTGTTTCCAACGCCTGTATTCCAGCCGCAGAATGGTGGTGTTATATTACAGTGTTCGTGTGTAATGGGGGAAATCCGGTAGAAACTTCCTGGACAAGCCCTGGGGAGGTCATCGGAGAGTCTTGACGACACAGGAACAGTGCTGGATTATTTATGTCCGCTGCTTTCCTTTTGTTCTCTTCAAGTAAAATCGGGAGAGAAGTCAAAACGTGCGAGTCCGCAAAAAAGGCAATTTTCTGAAGGAATTCGTAGAGCACCATAAATTCTAAGACGAATTACACTCGGCGAGAAGAGGGACTGGTAAAGGGAAATGAGAAAATTCTCAATCTGAGTTCTGCTAATGAGTCATATTGGGTGAATCACAGCGTTATGGAGCCAGAGCTTTCTCAAATGCTGGGACCCCTCCTTACAATAATGCTGCGTCTTTCTTGGCCTGGCATGATAAAAAAAGGCAGAGAGGTTTAGAGAACTGCTGTGGGTTTTGCGTTCAGTCTCCTTCCTCTTGCTCAGCGACACTGACTGCTACTGTCACCAGACTCACCTGTGGTGGAAGGGTATCCCCAGACAGATGGGGGATCTTCTTCCTGTCCAAGTACAGCACGCTGTTACCACTGCAGATAAAATTACACAGCTGTTAGCATTTCGATTAAACCTCTGGGTTCTAATAACATAATAAATGTTAAAAATATTTTAAATCTGTTTAATGTAACAGATTTCCTCACGGCACGTATTGCCAACACCTTCATTGTTTACGCATCTATACCTCAAGCGGATCATAGATAAATGGGTATCATAATATTGCGACATTTTTTTAACGAATCCTTAATGTAAACCCATTCAATCTGTTTTTTTCATTCTTGGCATTTTAAGCTCAGTCTAGTCACGTTCAACGTCTGTTGGGCATTCTCTAGTCACAGGCCTCTAGTTGCTGGAGCCTATGAGTGAATACAAGAAAAGACTGCTTTCATCAATGCACCTGTACAATTTTTGTGGTTGCACAGTACTAGAGAACCTGTTGTGAGCCTCATAAAGATGTTACCGACAGCACTTTCACCCTTGTTGAATAAGCATTTCATGTCATTGGCTTTGGGTGTGGTGAATATTGCTTCTAGTGCCACATTTTTGCATATTCAAATCAGATTTCATAGAAGAAATATATTTGTTCTTGTTTTTTCTATTTAACGTGTGGTAGAGTTTCTTTTAAACGCTCCACAAATGGAGATTCTTGCCCCTGTGTGGTAAATCAGTTTGATTTGTGCTTCACAATGCATAATTCCATCATAATTATTTTTTTTTTAAGAAAATGCCACTTTGTCTGCGGGTTGCATTTTTGTACGAGTGCTTCTGCATATGCCTGGTTTGAAAATAAACTACAGATGTTTCCTCTGTGGTTTCGAAAATGCTTCCTGAGGAGCAAGAGAACTTGAAAATACAAATGATAACTTCTGACTCCGTGACATCACAGAGAGCAGGTTTCAGAGAAGAGGAAGTGTACGCCTCTTCAGCCTTTGGAGCCTTCACTGAAACACACATGATCTGCTGAGCATTTCGATAACGTAGAGCAAGGACTGAAGGCATAGCTCATAACAGAGCTTTGAAATTAGTCTTCAGAGTAAAATACAAATCTTTATGTTGCTGGTTATATTCCAAAAAAACCTGTAAAAACAATCTGTAGATCTTCAAAATATTCTTGACACTGATTTGACATTAGTGTTCTGGTTTTTCCTTTCTCTGATTCCATTTTCCAAAACATCCGTCTCAGGCGGCCTTCAAATGGTTAGTTTTCTGGTTTCCTGTTCGCAGTCTGCAGAACACGGAGTGACTAGCAGTCATTCGCATCATAGTAACTTTATCAGAGACGACTTTATTCGAGTAAGAATTACTTTCAAAACTCATGGTCTGGTTTTGAAACATTCACCATGATGAAGCAACTGACGTGGTCACTGTAAATCTTTGTAACTGACAGCGCACAGAGTAATTTGCACAAGGAGGACGATCCTTTTGTATGGATCCTAACCCTGTATATTTCACACATGTCAGTCAGTTACAGTGGGGTACTAGAGTAGAAGTGACAATTTGCGAGTTTCACACAACGGAACATAACACGGTCTGGGATCCCAAGTGCCTCACAACAAATCCAGCTGTTCAAATCACAGAGTTGGAGCCCTAGTCCCAACATGGTTGGTTCTAAGCCAGCCTGTCATGATTCTTCTTATTTGCTTAGGAAACGCCTATAACCAGGGCCGTTGACAAAATATAGAATGATATAGGAAGGAAATGCAAAGCCAAAATCATTCACGTATAGTTTAAAAAAAGTAAATGACAAGGAAAACAGGGAGGCAGCCACACATCAGGAGGGCAATGTCTTTGTAGGACAGAGCTGACTGAAAACTGTGTCCACTGAGCTGTGAATGAAGTGGAGATAGGGAATCGTTGATTACAGTAAAGGAGGATTGCTGTTGAGCCGAGTGCAGTATCAGGAGGTGATTGAAGTTCACAAGGGTGACACAGAGACCTGTCTGGGCAGATGGGCCTTGAGGGGATGCTCGAAAGTGGTCAGAAATCGAGCAGATCCGATCTGGAATATGGGCAGAGGCTTCCTAACTATGTGGGCGAAGCAGATACTGTGTATCCAACAGAGGATTTCCAGCCCAATTAATACAAATTGATAGTTCTTAATCTTCTCATGTGGATGATTATTTTTATCAATAAATCTACCTCTTTGGTATGGATTGATAGTGTGTGTAATATGTGGGCGGGTTGTTGAAAACTAGGTGTTAAATAAGTCCAATGCGTTATCGGTTGTCTATGTATTAAGAAAGGAAAAAAGCCTTTTCTTATTACAGGAATAATACTATGCCATTTGTTGCTAAGTGTACATTTCTAATAATTGAGAATGTGCCTTTTCTGAATCTTATCAGGTATGGTGACAGGCCCATAAAGAGATCAAAGAGATAATGGTCATACTGTCGCAAAGCAACCTTTCCTGTTCTATCATTGCAAACTTTCTCGTAGCGTAGGGGATTTTATCTGTATTTTTATTGAAGGAACTACGGTATACGCCTTTGGCTAACGCCACCTGCAGCTAAATAAAATAAATCATACGTAGAGTACAGATTAGAAAAGAAAATGTTTTTATGTTAAAACCATAAGTATAAAATAAAATGAATAAAGCGTAAAATAAATTACAAGACAGGATTACCATATTTCAAAAATAAAAAGTGATATTTGTACTAGTACATACTGTATTTGTACAAAAATCATTTTGAATCGAAAACCTTAGGGTAAAAAGATTAAGGGAGAACTTCCGGACATTTTAAATGATTAAATACACAAACGTTTTAACAAGCAGTTGTTAAAAAATGACAGAACAGGATTAATTTGCCGGTAGTATGGTCGTGAAAGAAAAGATTGTTAGGAAGTTTTTACTTCATTGTTTAATGCTGGGGATTAATCAACAAATGTTAACCATAACAAATTGCATTTGCTTAGATTATTCTTAATGAAATTCAGTCATTGCGACTGGATTTCTTTTCACATGCTTTTATGTGACAAGATTGATCAACCTGCCCATCATCTTCTGATGAAGACCTTTTGTTTGAACGTTATTTTTAATGTCTAAATATATTTTGGCCGTATATGTGTATGCAGTCATCTTTTCTGTGTACGATATAAAGTTAACCAACGCCATGAGTGCAAAAGTTTTGCGTTTTGCTCATTTAAAAAAAAAAAAGCCAAATCCTAGAAGCACTTCCAAAATTCATCCCCTGCTGGAGAAAATAAAAAATGATTCCTTTATGAGATTCTTGGCAAGATAGGGATCAAGCATGAATTAGCAAGAGTGATTTCTTTTGACAAATGACACGGTAGCTGCTGAAATGTAGTCATGCTTATTTTGAATGCAGTCCAGTGTTGCTGGCATAACACCTCGATGAAGGTCATATAACCCCACTAGGAAAACATTCTTAATCTTTTATACATATAAATATGTATTCATTATAATACGTAGTATTTGTCATTACATGGGTTGGGTTTAGGACTTTCAGTTTTAGTTATGGTTTGGTTCAAGGTTTATGTTAGAATCAGTGTCATCATAAGTGCCTAGTCTTAAAGGGTTATGAAAATCCCTACAACATATAGGGTATATGTAATATGTCAGTGTAATGTATAACATGTAGGTTATATATAATATGCCTACAAGCTACAAATAGTTGTGTTATATATTACTTTAGTGAAGGTATTATGATGGCTACATAAGATTGTATTCAAATAACACATTACTAGGCAGCATCAATAATCTGGGAAAGGGTTCAATACAGAAAAATTCACCCCGTTACTTTACTTACAGTTGAAAACGTTCATCACTTGTTTTTAATGCTTGAGTCCTACTCAGTATTTGAGTTCAATGTATTTGTGTATGCCCTTGTCCTTTAAAGAAGAGACATCAATACAGGTGTAATAAAATAGGTTTCTGCATAAGTACATAAGTTTACAAAAGACACAAGGCTATTCAGCACATCTGGTTTGTTTCATAGTAGTTAATTAATCCAAGGGTCTCACCCAGCTACTTAATGAAAGAAGCCAGCATATGAGTTTTGGAAACATGATTGGGTATCTTGTTCCAAACTCCCACAACAGTTTGGCTAAAGATGTGCCTGCAGCTCTCTTTATTAAGTGCACTTTCACTAGTTTCCATTTATAATGGTCACACATTTCAATACAATTCTGACTTGCAAATTAAAAGCATGTTTTAACATCTCAGAGTGAAAAAAAAGATTGGTACACTTGGGGTAAAGATTAGGGATGTAGATTTCCTGGGGGGTGTCAGTATTGCACATTATTCTTTAGAGTAGCACTTGTGAACCCAGGACACAGAGGAAACCTCTCACTGCCAGTTTTCTTTACAGTTGAGTTCTAAATCCACAGTGCTAATTAATGATTTAATTAATCTGCTTGCTTTTTTTAGACATTTAACAATTTTTATTCAGTCAGTCATGATTCAGGCTCAGTCTAAATCAAGGGTACTGTTTCATTATCTGATTTTACCAGCCTCTCCTCAACATGCCTGTGGTTATTTCTGAATAAACTGCTCTTACTAGTTGATCGATTTATGTTGAACAGACACGGGTGTGAACAACATTTGCTTTCTCCAGAGGTTCAGTTGGTTACATTGCAGGCAACATACCTAAATGAAGGCTGTTCAGAAACTCAGAAATTGATACAGGGCTGATTTAAGTTTAAAATTTATTTCATTTCAATTCTCTATATGAGGCCTTTTTTCATTTTCTTTCAGCTCTTGAAAAGGTGAATGACATTTGTAACCGGTATAAACCCCCAGAAAACGCTAATGATGAGAATTTCAGGACAGCCCTGATTCTGGTGTGCCAGCTGAACTCTAACCAATTGGATGTGAGCAGAAGGAAAACACTGACTCAGTGTGCGAGTTGTCTGTCTGGTTATCATTCCACCGATCACCCACTAAGAACTGTTTAATCAGAAAGAAAGGATCAAATTTTTAGCCAGTTAATAGGAGAGTGCATAAATGTTTGTATGCAGAAGTTGTTTGAAATCAAAGGTTTGTAACCGAGAACAGAAGCATATCGGTTACAGGCACCAGTTAGCACTGGTGATAGCCCTGTTGCAACAAAAAAAACAACACAGCAAGATCTAGTATAGAACAAGGATTGAGGACCACTGCCACAGAGGATCGTGCAGGCACCCTGTGACTCACTCCACTCCTTACTTTCAGCCTTCCTGGTCAGAACATGGTTTGCAAATGGTGAAACGGTAGCAGGCAACACTCACAAAAGAAACCCAGTTTTACCCATTTTAACGTTTTGCTTGTTGGAATCGGGGGTGGCATTTCTCAAACGTTGCAAGCTTGTTGAATTAGGTGCCTTCTGCAAGATGTACTTTGTTTCCAAAGGCCAGAAAAGCGGGGGGGAATCTTCATATTCATGTCAGAACTCTGTAAAAACCAAAACTTCTCATTGTGTCTCCAAGGACAAGGCGCTTTAAACTCACATTCCATGAGACTGAGCACAAAAACTGTGTTATCCTAAGGTCCCTTTAATTTCGCATCTGGACAATGGGCTTTGTGAAGAATGTTCATGAACCCATTCTGTTCATCTGTGTGAGATCCCTGAGCCATGGAAAAATGCATCACAGGGATCTTTTTTTAAAAATGTTTGCAAGAACTCTGAATGTATCACAACATTGGCACATGCCTTTATGATTTTCCATTGGTTAATGTTTTTTCTTGATATAGCAGAGGAATTTGATTTATTAACATAGTCACCTCTTTTGTTTTATTCCAGTTCCCCACTTTGCTAAATGGCCACATACCAGTGCCACTTCCAAACTTGGACGGATCCTCCTCGCCATTGCTGCTGTCTCCAAGTGGCCAGAAATCCTGATTTTTGGCCTGAACAGAATGCATTTCCTTATTTTTATATGTGAAACCCAAGTCAGCTTTAGGTTTTGCACATTGACAATGTACAAATGCTAAACCTTTTTTGTAAACTTTTAAAAAAACATTGTTAATCATAAGATGCCCTTACTGTTCAAGGTGTTAAACACTTTGGGCCAGTTTCCTCTTGTAGGTTTGTTAAGGTTTCCATTGGAGGCTGTGAATCTGTTTCTTGTTTTTTTTTTTTAATTGTATGCACTGTGCTTAAATGTTATTACCGGCTGTGCCTTCCCATGCATAATGTTAAATGTACTATGTAAATGTATTATTTTCCAGCTTTAAAAAACTTTTTAAAAGACGAAATTCCAATACATTATAAAACAAAGCTTTGTAATAGCTTTCAATATTTTTCATAAAGGAATTGATACAAATGTATTCTCATATTAATTTTATATTTGTGCTTTTTAAGAGTCTAGAAAATATGCCTTATGTTGTTTAAATAAAGACCGAGCATTGAATGCTATAGACTGTAGTATACTCTTATTTCTTAATTAAAAGGCAACTACAAGGCTATTTTTATATTCCAGGGTGAGAAAGAATCAGCAATGCTGAGTGCATTTCAAACCACAATAAAAGTAAAATGTTCGCAGTAACTTTTAAAACCTCCCATTTACATCCCAGAATAAATGAAATTTCCAGGTATGCGCAGCACCGTAGTCTGCGATTCATTGTGAGGCAATAAGGTATAGTGAGATGAAGCAGCCCCATTACATTGTAAACAAGTAGGCTTGCCAACAAATATCTATGAATCCAATAGAAATATTGCTCTTGACTTCAAGACATTTTTGTCGATAAATGAAATTTACTTGTGATCTGCACACAGAGCTAATGTTGGAATCCATTCTGCAGTGAAATATCTGCTGCGCAACCTGTACTTATTCCACTTGTAATCACATTACAATGGTCATTACAGGGACTAGTGAGCAGGAAGGGCTGCTTTACATCGCCATTCTTGCGAACTCTTGCTCTCACCCATGGTGAGACCAAGGGTTTGCTACAGCATGGCAACGTACAGTACTTTCACAAAGGTCACATTTTGTGCTTAATTTGAAATTTGTAAATAAAAAATCCCATCTCAGTCATGCTCATTATTCAAGTGAAGTCACTCACTTATGTTACCCTTCGTTTAAACAGAACAGCATAACGAAAAGAATATGCTCTCTACATAATACTGGGGAATCTTAGCACACACTTTCCTGAGTCATCTGTGCTCCTTTGGACTGAATGGGTCATTCCAAAAAGACATACCATTTGCAAATGTTCTGAAAGGACAGTGTGTATAATGTATAAACTATAAATTACTAGACTAAATGATTTCAGTTTAATATCCATGTATAACAGTTTACCTCAATTCACAAACTCATACTTACCATTCTTACACTTAACATCTTCATATTACAGAGGCAGCATGTCTACAAAGCTTCACATAGGAAATGTTCTCCACCATTACTAGATTGCGATGGTCATATAACCATTGCAGTCCTTGACAGTCCTGGTGTTATTATACACATAACATTACAGAAACAGGTATGCCTTATATTAACCTCCCATTTCGTGCAATGTTTTCACCCTTAACAATATGAAAGCAGTCGCTGAAGATAGTCGGAAGGTGAGATGGTTTGATACCTGGACTTAGTAGAAATAGCTCTTACTCCTCCCTGCCCTACAGCCTACACTGAGGTCTAGAGTTAAGACACAGTGCTTTACTCATGCTCACATAAAATAGTCTTCCCACTAAATATTAAAATAGACTCAGGTGATGAAACATCAATACTACGGCATTGAAAAATAAACCCATTAAACGGAAGCAAAAAAGACAAGAAATGAAGACAGTCAAACAATTTCAGTGTTCTGTACGAAATCGAGACTAGATTTACTTCAATGGTTACGAGAAATAAATAAATCTAATAAAAAGTGTTAAATTGCCAACAACAGTCTACCACTGGACTCTGTTCCGTATAAGCAGAAAGTACACAAGACTGATGTTTCAATTTTCTGACACAGTCCTCCACATAGTTTCAACAAAGAGGTCATGTAATTTTCATACTTGGTAAAAGTACATTATTAATACATCATTGTCAGTTGAAAACAACACAGCAGATTGTTAAGCCTCAAATTTCAATTTGAAACCATTTTCAGAATTCTAAATGCCAAAAAGGAATAGTGGTCCAATGTCTACTGTTACACAAAACGTGTTTTCTGTTTTCTTTTAGGCAAATTTTCAGTTTCTTTCTTTTTCTAGAAAAGAAAACACAAAATACTAATGAAACACATTGCCCCCAACATGCCACAATTACAATTCACAAATAAAGTTAAAATGTAACATACAAAAAAGTCTCTTAATACTGTTAAATAAACTACAGAAATGAGAGGACCCTGAACGCGTTTACAGTGACTGTCAGAAACAGACTCATTTTGCCCCCCAACAATGACCATTTTACATAATAGAGCTATCAAAACTGCAAAACATTTACAGTCAAATTAGATGCACTAAAACTATTTCTTAAAGGCAAACACAATTGCATACAAGGATTGGCTGCCGAAGCAGACACAAGATATTCACCGAGATGCAGTAGCAAAGTAGGGAATTTAAATACAGAATTCAGCCAAAGCCAAAAAATAACCCCCCCTCCCAAAAAAATACAGCTTTCAAAAATGTACATCTCTATGTGGCGGCTTCGAGGTGCCAATCTAATAAACGGATCACATTACTGTCATTAATGCCCTCTTTTAATATGCTCCAGTGTATTCTCTCTCTAAAAGTTACATCTATAGTAATAGAGGTGTGTCCTTGAATGCCGCAACCAATTATCCAAGTGATGTCTTGGATTGCAAAATGGATTTTTCTACAGAAGACTGTAATCCATGAACTCTGTTGAGGAAGGTTTTGAGATTTTGCTTTGCATTTTTGTGCATCTTTGCTTATATGGTCAAGATAGAGATAAAATTGCCTATGATTCAGTTTAGAAGGTGGGGGAGTTAGTAAGAATGTAGTGAGACTCTATGAAATGATCAGGTCACAAATCGTGGGGAAGTCTGCTGGGTATACAACTGTAGGCACTACCGAACAGGGTTACAGTATGCATTTATATTCCTGCGAAGATACTGCTCTTAATTGTTTTGCCTGAATAAATACAGACCTTAATTGGCAAATTTCAATTCTAGAAAGGACTTTTCGCCGAATCTAAAAAACATTCAAAGAGTCTGCCTGTGTGAGGCTGAAGGAAAACCAGGTTTACAGCTCAGTGAAGCTCATCTCCTGACAAAGTCTTACTTCAAAGTCAAACAGTTCTGAAGTCAGGTGGAATCTACATGAGAATCGAAGAAACATTTGATTCCGAAACACAAAACGAGTACAAAATTCTGCAAATCATCTGTCGTAGAAGATAATCAGGCAAGTTCACATGACAAAAGCCACTGCAACTTCTTCAGCGTGTTAAATATAGACAGTAGTCGTTTAGCAGCACATGATTCCCCAATAAATAACACATGGTGTTTCTCAGTCCTGCTCGATATCCGCAGCAGCTCCGACTGCTGAGAAGAACCCAAAGACCATCTGTACAAAATGTCACACTGTGACAGGCAAATATAAAACGCAGGCCGCAGGCTCATCGGGGAGCAGGACTCCTCTGTGTGAAGGACAGTGGTGGCACAGAGGGTCTGCTTGAAAGGTCCACTCTAGCAGGTTCGAGGACAAGCCTTCACATCACCCCTTGGCTGGTTGGTCGGTTTAGAAAACAGAAATAAGTCCTTGTTTCTACTAAACTGCTAAGAAAGAGTCTAGAAAAGCATACTCTGTCTTCTGTTTTTGCCAGTTCCTGGAAGGGAACAAAAAAAACAAACAATTTATTGTTTTGGAAGGGGGGGAAGAAAAATAAGTCTGGCAAATGCAGTTTCCTCTTTAGATTTTTTTGTTTCATAATAAATGGATATGAACAGAGACGCAGATCTGCAGTTGGTGCACCTGAGTGACTAGTTAAGTCTCATGTAGTAAGAGGGAAACTTCCTTAATGAACTTGATTGAAAGTGTACTGCTGGCACTGTGGTCCAGCATACCTGGTGAGAGGCTACACTCTGCAGTGGTAAGGATGCCCTCTAGTGGTGAGACCAGCTCAGAGGCACCATTTTCACACTGGTACAGCCAGAACCCTGCCCAGCTGGCCCAGCTCACCCAGCACAGCTCGGCCAGATTGTCAGAATTCAGCTGACTGAATGTCCCACATGTTGTAGATTGCAAATCCAACATAATTTCACCAAATGTGAAAAGAAGAAAATTTGACACCGCTTAACATTCTTAAGTGCTTAATGTGGCTCCAAGTAAAACAATAACCTGTATCAGAATGCTAGAAAAAGGTCTTTAATATGTTAATTAAATGTGTTCAGCAGTTAAGTGTTAAATACCCAGGGATCAGCTTGTGACAGTGCTGAGTGAATGAATGGATGGAGTTCAGTTTGCATAGAGAATCCCAATTTGAAGAAATTGACTCCTTTTAGAGAGGAGGAGCTTGTGGAATGCTTCTGGAGCATCCCCATCCACAGGGCAATGTCCTTATACTCTACTGCTTACAGCTGGAAAATAATGAGTATTTTAAATTGGTTCATTATGATCTAAAATCCGCATCAGTAATCCAAATTGTTGTCAGCTCCTGCCAAGTATGAGAACTGCAAATCTAACCTTGTTAAACTGCTCTGAAGTTACACAAACCAGAACACTGTGGTGTACTATAGATTAGTGTGCTACACTGTCACCACAGTTTCGCCGCTCAGGTAGAGGAAGACCACCATTTAGCATTGTTACCTGTTTCTGGGTAAGATGAACTTCGAAAGCCTGGGTCTTTTTGCAGCTGAACCTCTTTCAGAGAGAATATTGACACACCTGTTGGGGGAGAAACGGGATGTAAATACAGTCTAAATCGAAATGCCAAACTAGGACAGAATCACTGTAGGTCTCCCTGGAAAGGATTTCCTAAATCAATTAAATTCTAGCATGGCCTCCAATCTTTTGTAACCTTTATTCCATTTTTTCCAGATGCAGAATCTTTTCCAGAATCAGTTGAATCAGCTAGGGCTTTAGGCTTGTCCACACTAGGTACTGAAAATTATCAGCTGTTTTCAAAATGGTGAAAAAGTGTTAAATAGGATCAGCATCAAAAACTAATACTGTACTTGAGAACCACACTCCAAGGGTAATCTTAAGTCTGGTTCTCAAGAGTATTGCATCAGTGTGGTTTGTAAATGCACATGGAATTTTTTATTTTTCAATATCCCAAAAATTACACTTGAACTCACAGCTACAGCAAAGAGTCCAAATAGACACCTGGAGAAAATCACTGTGAACAGCAAATACTCCAGTCTGCAATTAGGAGATCAGTCTTTGATTGCATTCGTAGTTGAAATGTGGGCAGATGCCTAAAACCCCAGGCATTTATTGCTGTCAAGAGTGAATAAATGGATCAAGCAGATTTCACAAATGCAGGATGATCTTCCATTTGAAATGGATCCTTTCAGAATCTCTAATCAGAATCCAAAGAGTATTGTGGGTTACATTCTTACTAAATGCCAAGTCTGAAATATTACACCAAGCCACACTAAATGTGGTGCTTCACTTAGAGCTGTATCCCTTAGAAACTCTTTTAAGTACAGCTCTTGAGAATCGGTTATTCATTATGTGCTGTGCTAAATTATGTTGACATAATGACTACAGTTTGAGTAGAACCTTGTCTGGCCAAGAGCCAGTAGGCACCTGCTTAGTACTGTGATATGATCAATGGGGAAAATACTTTTCATAACCACAAAGTACTTCTTAATAGATTATAAATATTAAGCCTGTAACTAAGCTATATTGTTCTAATGTTCCAATGGATTCCCAACACAGCATATGGATGAAAACCCACTCTCAGGTAGTGCGTGTATCCTAGTTCCAAGGCTTTTGAAGTAGGTCTGTTTCATAGACTCATCGGCAGAAATCCTCTTCTTGGATTCATACTGCAATGATAGAAATTTTACAATTACAAACAAAAAAAAAACTTCAGGTGTTTTAAAAACACAACAACATAAATGGGGACATTTTGTTTTAATTAAAGCCAATTATTTCAACCCTATCTTTCTTGTTATGGATTACATACAACATCTTTCATTTTTGTGTATTTTTCCAACTGAACTAAATATCACTGCACATCATGAGAAATTCCAAATACCTGATATTGAAAAATGAATAGCTTGCCCCCTGATGGTGTTTTTTATTTTTTAAGTAATCCTGTCTATTCTTGTTCTAAAATGTAAAGGCTTTGAAACACATAGGTTAGGATACGGTTTGTCAACACCCCGGCTTCTAACAATAAACAGATGGGTGTGATCATTGGACCAATTATTGATTATAGCTACTAACTTCCAAACAGAAGCGATGGGCAAAATGTCCTCCCACTTATGTGACAGGGTAACCTTACATTCAAAACAAAAATGTAATTGAAAACAGTAAGAATGTTTTAAAAGCCAAAAAGAATCTACGAAAGTTGTCACATACTTTTAATACGTAATCTCAACTATATCTGATTTAAATTACGTGACAGACAGTAACAAACAAGAACATAAACAAAAGACAGGCTGACTTCAAACAAGGACAGTATCTGGCCCTCCTTGAGTTCATGCACCAAAATGAATACTGAAGTACCAAACATAAAGGGTGTGTCCAACGGGACTACATCAGAGCTAAAACAGAGACTTACTTGTAAAAACATTAACAACAGGTCAATTCCTTCAGAGTCCAGCCTACAGGGGGAAAGAATAAGGAAGCGTATTTAAACAATATCATGTCAGGTTTCTCATTATGTAGTTAAAAGCAAAGGCTCTGAGGCTCACTTATTTTAAAGCCTATCAAAATATACAATTTAAAATTCAGCTTACTTAGATACTTGTGTATACAGAATGTATATACTGTATGTAAACTGCCCAGTATTATGGAAAAAATTATGACCTAAGATCCTAACTTCCTCTCTTTTGCGATAGGCGGGAAATGTTGCTTCTGAGCTGCTGTAGCCTTGATTTCTAATTTTAGAGGGAAACATTCTTGCTTCAACAACACCTGTTCATCAGGAAAACAGAGATACCAACACATAACCTTCACTCCTCGAGCAGAAAAATAAAACTTTTGAGTTTATCAACTTCCTGTGCTGTTAAGAACAAGGTGAAAAAACCCTGCATTTTATCAGACTTTGTTTTTGTTATTAATGAGACTAATAGTTAATCTATGTGTCTACCACCATTTTAATTCAATAATAATTGAAAATTCTTTCAAGTATGAAACATTCAATGCCAATGATTTTACAACATGACACAGACCCAGGGAAAGAAAGGTATAGAGAATCCAGGTCCCAGTTGCTTTTCGTTTTAGATGACTAAAAAGAGTCACCTAAGCTAAAAAAAACAATGCTTTTTTTAGATACTCTCTAGTGACTGTAGGCTATATTCGTACATCTTATGTTAGCATTCAACTATTTTTATGAGACTCCTCCCAGCTCAGTTTATAGATTCCAAAAAATAACAGGTTTTAACTATTGACAAGAAAAAAAGTTGTACAGTACTAACCATCTTTTATACGTGTATAACAACTGTGCTGTAAACAGCTTTCATTCGTATTTCTGATCTGGTGAGTGGTGTTTCATGTAAAAAGTGAACACTCAGAGAGTATCATACATTTCTCAAGAACTCTACCTTGGGGCATGGTTGATCAAAGGCTGTGGTTTGTATTTGGGAAAGTTGTAAGATTTGAATTCTTCGATGGATGATATCCCTGGCCAGTTTTCTTCTGAAGGAGTGCCTGTGGCAAAAAGAGAATTCAAACAATGGCAGTGTTCAGACTAAGGCTTCCAGTTACGTTCGTGGAAACAGTTTTTGTAGACTAGAAAAATAAAAATGACATGAACCAAGAACACTCCTATCATATCAGTTCCCCTTTATGTAATAAATGACACATGATCAAAATATAACATTCTCCCCTCAAAGCTTTTTATAATAAGGCTGAATAAACACTGATCACACAACCACTTTCACTGAATAGCACCGATTACAGAAAGGAAAGCCCTTGAACAGGATGTTATGTGATTACAGTTAAGACAACGTGTTACAGCAGAGTGTCTGAAATGAAGTAATATTAAAGATGATCCAAGCCACCTGACTTATTTTAAAGGGCACTGTGTCAGCACTGCATACATGCGGTGACTCAAAAGGGAATTCTTGAGTTGCACAGTAATAGACTTCAGCAAGCATCTGCCTTTTTTCAGGTGGTACAACATTAACAGTGTTTACTGACAACAAGCACATTCTCTTCATGTAGCTCTTCTGTTTGTTTGAAATATTTACCTAGGAGTCTAAAAATTAAGTGCAGTTCATCTTCTACTGTTGAGCCAGGAAACAAGGGCCGGCCAGCCGCCATTTCATAAAAGATGCAGCCCACACCCCTGAAAAGTCAGACAGAAATGCTCATTAGCATAACAATTATTCAACTCTCTTAGACGAAGATTTATTAGGCATTTTAGGACAAATTTAAGAATGCAATTTCACCGCTTGTAGCAGCTGTGGTGACAGACAGCATAATTTCCAAAACCCTTCAGTTAAACTGGTTTATTTTGAGGTCATATTCCTGGTCAGCCCCCTTCCAGATCTGTCATTCAGACGTTTAACAAATGGAAAAGAGCGATAAGGTGCATCTACTTGGGTTTTTCCTCTGGTGACCTGTTCCCATCCTGAAGATTATCCAGAAGCTACTGTCAGTCTTATCAAAGTTACAGTTTTCAGCTTTCTGCAGTTAAACCAAGAAATACCTTACACTATTAGAATGATTACACTTCTAACACAGAAAAGAAATAGGGCTCATAGAGAGCACAGGGAAAATTGGGCTCCATATTTATTAATAACTTGCCTCCATTTACAAATGGAGTCAAAGTAGAAATTAAAAAATAAACACGATGTAACTTGTAAAAGGTAGTTCATATAAAACTAAAAACAGATCTGGAACGTTAATTTTCGTTGTCATGAACCAGTAACGAAAAGTCCATTTCAACTCATTCTTTAAACCCCTATGAGCGCTGACAACACAGCTGCTATTAGATACCCAGGTGAGACTGACAGGATTTGCTAACAAATGTGCAGCAAAAGATTCTCACCACATGTCAATCTGTGTAGAGTACTCTGAGGATCCCAGAAGGACATCCGGGGGCCGGTACCATAGCGTTACCACCTCATTGGAGTAGGTCTTTGTAGGGACAGACTTGGCTCTTGCTAATCCTGTGCGAGAGAATCAGAACAGCACATCATACCACACGCCTGGTAGCTTCAGTGATATCTCACTGTGCTGTCTAGGAGCAAAGACAAACCGAACTCATTTTTCTTCGCTAAACGGGGAAAAAAAAACAGTAACTCCATAAACAATGTTACACAGCATCTATCCATTCAGATTGTAGCCAAATTGACTAATTCAATTATCCCCCAGCAAGCAACAGGTGCCAGGCAGGATACACCCTGGATGGAACGCTAACCCATCACAGGGCGCACACACAGACACGTACTCACACCAGGGCCAGTTTTCCCAGAAAACTGGTGACCTACAATCCCACCATGTCTTTGGGCTGTGGGCGGAAACTGGAACTCGTGGAAGTAACCCGCACAAACATGGGGAGAAGTACAATCTCAATGCAGATAGCTCCCCAGGTCTGGAATTGAACCCAGGGTGTCGGCGCTGCGAGGCAGGAATGTTAACTACTGTGCCATCATGCTGCCCTTGTTGTGCAGCACTTCCTTTCTAATTACAGGCATGAAGGTACAGCAGGTACTTACCAAAATCTGCCAGCTTTAGCTCTCCTCGCTCATTAATGAGCAGATTCTGCGGCTTCAGGTCCCGATGCAAGACTTTCCGCCGATGGCAGTAGGCCAAGCCCCGCAAAATTTGAAATAAAAAGATCTTTAAAAACAAAAAGAAGGAAAATAAAGACTGTTTTATCAACATTCAAACTATTCAAATCAACTTGCTTGCCAACTGTAACAATCTAAATCGTTACTATAGATCATGAAGAGGAACAGGCCTAAAATAAATCTCAGCAGCACACCACTGCTTACAGCTGTCCATCTCGATATTAGGCACTTTAGGATAACTGTTTCCGGTTCATTAACCACCCATGGACTTCTAATTTGAGGATTAACCTTTTATATGTACGCAGTCAGTAGAGTACTCTATTCCTCCTGAGTTGCTCTTAATTTCTCCTTTAAACCATGTTTTCCTAGGCATGGATTTATGGAATTCTTTTAAGTCTGTAACTTTGTTTTTGAAGTACATTTATCCTTCTTCTACAGATTCAAAATCTATCTGGTCCCAGTTTACTACCACATTCATAGCATGATTTTCTAAATGTCGAAATGGTAAAAGCTGCTTTAAAGTATACTCAAACTTTAGAGGTACACTGACTGTTACGCTACATGGATCTGACGTGACATACAGGGCTTAAAACACTTGTACTATTGAAGAAAAAAGGTTATTTACTTTGGTTTTCAGTCTCAAAATGTACTTTGAGGTTCAGGAACGGACACTGTTCACTAAACAATGTTCACAACAGACTACACAAAAAAGCCAGTGAATGAGGGCGCAATTAAACTTCTTCAAAACCAAACAAAAAGCTTATTTATGGTGAAAGAAAAGGAGGTAGCTCACAATGAAATAGAAATGAAAACCCTTACTAGAGGCTACTAAAGCTGTTCTTGTGCAACACAGGAGAGGCGATGAAATTCATTTATGTTTCCTTTCAAATCAAAAGGCAGCCCACTGCACTTCATATAAGCAACAGACAGTTAAAATGGCTAAGGCTTGCAGGGCACAGCTCCTGTCCCCAAGGGCTGGGGCATGTCTCACAGGTCTTCAGCTGTTGGGGCCTGGCAACTGAAAGAGACATGGAGAACTGGACACCAGCCCTCAAGGACAGGAGTTGTGTACCTATGTCATTGGCCTTGGCTTCACATTTTCTGTACAGCACTAACCTTCACATTGTGCATACTCATGATGTTCCCACAGTCATCCATGTACTGTTTCAGATCCTTGTCCTGTACAAAAAATTATGAAAAAATTTCAATAAAAAGGCCCTTCGGGCAAAGTGTTGGACATTCCTGTACTAATTAATTAGTAGAGAGGGAAGTAGACATATTGTGTTCTTCTTGTACTATGTAATCAACACACATCAGAATGAACAAAACAAGGTTTGGTATTTAATGTAACTGACTTCTTAAACTATAATCAGTATAACTTAGTTTTTACAGGAAAAAAAGCATTGCTAAACTACATGCTGATATTGTGATATCTGATGTACTGTGCGTGAGGGACTTATTCTTTAGGCTGTTTATTAATGCTTAATGGTTAACAACTCTAGTAGTAAACACAGGTCATGATGAAACATAACCCATGATGAAAACACAAGATAAAACACTTCCTATTTGTATCAGTTTAGTTTAGCACTTTCACTAAAAGTGAGAAGAAACACTGACAACTCCATCTCGTCACTTTATTCTTCAGTCACTCCATGGAGAAAAGTCAAAATTTAATCCAGCTATAATACTTATACGGAATATGACTAATAACTGCTACTTTACCCTTCAGCTACTGTCAAAGAACTTCACTCTATTGAGGGTAACTCAATCAGCTTCATGCTGGTCGAACAGACATACTGTAGATGCCTGTAGCAACAGTCCCAGCACTACACAATACACAATCATATAACAGTGAGTACCTTATGAGGAGAGTTACTATACTGTACATCCAATGTTACCCAAGCTTTTGATCTTCAATCTGTTTCATATAAATACTGTGTAACAAAAGAAACATCATCCCTATTTTGACATGTAGTTCTTTACTAAAATAAATGGATGTTGGATATTGTTTCAGAGCTTTTGCCAACATTATAATTAACTGATCGTTCATGACTGATCACAACACTGACTTTGACAGCTGCATTTGAGAACATGTGGCTTAAAAACAGGTGACGAGTTGATTTACCATGTAGAATGTCAAGCCTAGTTAAATTAAAGAAAATCAAAGTAGGCACTTTTTCATTTAAAAAATATGCACTATTTAATCAAAAGAACAATACTTTAATGCCAATGACATACTATATGTTGAAGCAACCCCTCAGGTAGACTTGACAGCAGTGTAACTAAGTCCTTGTTAGTGACGAATTAAGAACTTGGACCTGTATGAGAGAGTATGATGCAGATGTGCAGAACAATATGCTGAATTACAACAGGTTATTGACTTTAAAGTGTTGCTCAAGTTGTCGTTAATTGAAAATACATGGGTTAAAACATGCTTAAGCAACTGAAAATAAGAATTCACTGCGTGCCTCGGTCTGAGTAAAAATCTTCACTCTCAAACAGCTGTAGCCTTTTCCACTACATTTTACAGCACTGAACAACCACCAGTTGACCTTCACATGTACTCCAAAGAAACAAAAGAGTTATGACAATGTATAAGCAGTTTGAAATGATGCTGAAGTACATTAATTAATGGGTTTGTACTCATCTCTATTTGCACAAAAAGCATAGAAACATAGAAAAATAAACAATGTTTTGGCTATGGAGTATTTTTTAGTTGCGTCAAGAAAGTTCCACAGTCACAACACTGGATTTTTTCTTTTCTTTCTAGTTTTCAGTGTGGAATTACTGTAGTTTCACGAGGGGTGATGAAAATCTGACAGTGTTTCTTTCATTCACAGCAGAGTCCAGAAATACTTACCAGGTATTCAAACACTAGTGTGAGCGATTTATCCGTGTGAACAATGTCATGCAACGTCACAATATTTGCGTGCTTCAGATCCTTCAATAAAGACACTGCAAGAAATAAAAAAAAAGTCAAATAAAACTAAATGAAATCTTATTTTATATTGGATAAACTGATCAGTTAGAAATCTAGCTACTAGCATCCAGTTGAACTACATGGGCCAAATGACCTCCTGTCATTTGTGAAATTCCTTATTTTCTGAGGCACCTGGAAGTGTACCTCAGTACCTGGAAGGGAGACTTCCTGGGAAAGCTAATGTTGCTGCTGGAAGAGGTATTAGTGGGGCCAGAGGGGAGGCTCACCCTGCGGTCTGTGTGGGTCCTAATGACCCAGTACAGTGACGGGAACACTATACTGTAAAAAGGTGCTGTCACTTGGATGAGACATAAAACTGAGGTCCTGACTCTCTGTGATCCCAGAAAAGAATTTCTAGAAAAGAGTAGGGAAGTTACCCCGGAATTTACCAATCATGGCCTCATAATAATCCCCATCTATGAATTGGCCTCATTACTCTGCTCTCCTCCCCACTGATAGTTGATGTGTTGTGAGTGTACTGGAGCACTATGGCTGCCGTCGCATCAGTGGTGAAGGGGAGTCCCCATTACCTGTAAAGCACTTTGAGTGAGGTGTCCAGAAAAGGGCTATATAAGTGCAGGGATTAATTGATTATTGAAGTGAATAAGACTGAAAACGAATAGAGACTACATCACTACAGCAGGTACGAAGGACTGACCTTCTCGGATGGCCGTGCAGGGGGCTCCCTCTTCGTGCTCCAGCCTGATCTCCTTCAGCGCTACCAGGTTATCGGTCAGCTTGCTCCTGCCCTTGTAAACCGTTGCATATGTTCCCTACGGAGTGCACGAGTCAGCGCAGAGGAGAAACAAAGCAACATAGGCACTTTAATCATGGAAAGCTGGGACTACATACGGGGGAGTCTGATTAATCCCCTGTAAGCAGGGCAGGTGGACCTGCAGTTAAGATGCCCATTTCCAAAAGAAAAAACATTTTAAAATGAAATCAAAAACAGCTGTAGCATTGAAACAAGAAAACACAGAATTATGCATGTCTGCACTTATAAGCTTTAATATAGAGCTATTTGACAGTTTGTAAGGTGTACAATCTAAGCTTTAACAAAATGCCTCTCTCAGTTACCTGTAAATGGGTTTACATATACCTACATTCTACTTCTAGCTTCATATCATAAACAAAATGAAATGGAAAGACCTGAATCTGTTTAAAAAATAGGCAGCTTTATAGATACTGCAGAATTGTGAGTAAGAAAGGTCAAGCCATACACAAAACAGCTTCAGTTAATGGAAACACATGTAATTAGTCAGATGTACAGAGAGATAAAGATGAAAGCCTTGGGCCACACTCAGCATTCGTCACATCTGCCGGCTGTAAGCTCAGAAGACCCCCTACTGACCTCTCCAAGCTTGTCCAACTTGATGTACGTCTCCAGCTTCCCAAATCCAATTTCAGACTAAAACACAGAGTGGCAAATATTATTAGCAGGATTATTTAATGTTTTCATGCTAGACAGGCCACATTTTTAAAAGGAACTATACTACACACAAACTCTTATCACAATGTTACATGTGTTTTAATTTGTTTACCCTCCCCCCGATGTCTAGCTGTAAGTTAATTTTACACTGGCCATTTATCACGTCTCTGACAGAGTGGAAAGAGACAAAGATGAACTGCATTATTCGGCAGAGGGCATTGTTCACTTTCCAGACAAAACAACATGGCACGCGCCCAAGAGGAGGGATACCGAGAATGACAGCAAAAACGGATGATAAAAGAGAAACCCACAACCCAAATTTAAGAACTTCAGAGACAAAAACTAAAGCTCTACTTCCATGGTCTTCCATGGAAAAAACTATAATGTAAAAAAAAAAGAAACAAAAATGACTAAAGCCTTGAAAGGGATTTTGTGCTTCAGTTAAGAAAAAAATGTGCGAACTCCACAAGAAAGGCAAAGTGCTCACGAATGCCTGGTTGTTCTGCCTCTGGAATTAATGCAGGTAAAAACAAGGCCCGAATGCAAACTGCAGCCAGACAGGCCGGTTCCCGGGGCAACATGACAACTCTGACTTACAAGCGAAGCCCTGCGAGAACGCCGGCTCATGGGCTGGTCGAACGGAGGGCTGTTCATCTGTAGCTTCTCCAGATAGCCATCAGGTATCCTGATGTCTGCAGGCAGGGACAGCCGCTTGTTCAAGTCCTGGCATAACAAAAGCAGATTTCAGGGCAATGCTTGCTGAGAAACAAGAGAACTCAATATCAACAAGGTGCTTTTTACAAGGCATTAGGGAATGCCCACTATTGTTATGCTTTAAGCAATGCATAAACTGTTACAGATAACTAAAGATTTTTTATTACAGATTTTTGCTTTATTAATCAGTTCGGATCACTTCATAAGTATCCTGTACATTGCAAACAGCACAGAAATATGGTGTCATATATGGACACAGACTCTACATTGACGTTTTAAAACATCAATTGATATAACTGTTAGTTCAGTTAAAAAAGTGCTAATTTAAAAAAACTATGCTAGTTAAAAATACCATCAATGAAATTTCAATTTGCTAGGATCAAAAAGTCAAAAGCCTTTAGCCAAGAACAAAAAGTCTATGATCTGAAACAGGAGAGCTGGAGCAATGTTTTGAGAACGGAGGAGCAGTTCAGTAATAAGCAGGTTCCCAAGTCAACACTGAAGTCGCTTTGAGACATTCCAGTATTGCAGGACAGTGTCTAGGTGGCAAAAAAGAGCAGCCTCCTCCTTCTCTGTGGTTCTGTAATGATGATTCATGGTTTAAGTATAACACATCATAACCAGCTTGTAGCTTGATTGCGCTGATCTCAGCAGGTAAGCACGGCAGGGCCTGGTCAGTGCTGGGATGGGAAAACCAGTTTGCTGCTATAAATGATGGCAATGGACCAGCGGAGGCGCTCTTCTGTCTGGATCTAAACCAATAACCTAGTAAGATGATAGGAGACCCTCTGCTGTAGGTGATGCTGTCCTTTGGATGTGGCACTAGATGGGTCAAATAGCTTCCTCTCACTTGTAACTGCTCTTACAAGACTGCTGAACACAGATCTCGCCTATCTGTGAACGTTGAAGATCCCATGGCACTCTTCGGAAGAGAAGGAGTGTTAACACTTGAGGTTCCTTAATTTGGCCTGCTCAGAATTCCCACTTAATTTAATTGGTAAAACAATTTCTCACGTCTCCATCAGATCTACAGTGCTGCATTTTTTTGTTTCATTTCTGTGGGAGTATAGCTATGCAAGTGGTTTCCATAGAGAATAGGTTTCCTTCTTAGAAACCAGTCAGATAAGTTACATAACTCAGAGGTTACATAATTCAGAGGTCTTCTTTTGTGCTGCAAGTAAACTGTAGGTGCTAAATCTCAAGGCATCATATGAATCCATGACTACACACATTAAGCCATTCAGCTTTCCCATTCAGGGGGAAGACATTCTCGTTCTGAAGATTAAACCTTTTTCTTTTTACCAAGCCAAACAGTCTTGTCGAGCTGACTTTTGATATTTTACACTATTCACAGACCCAATAAACCACACAGTCTTTTTTCAGTTTCATCATTTGTTCCCCATTAAAGAGACAGTCAAGACAACCAGACTCTTTTTTGCATGAAAAGGAAATCCGTAACTCCTAATACTAATGGTATCTGGCCATGCAGTTTAAAATAAACTGCATATACAGACATACTGTACAGAGCAGTTGTAAGGTGCTCAGTCAGTTTGAAAAAGAAACAGAATATACAACAAACCTAGGAAGAAAGGAAGTTGAGGTATACACACAATTATATTGCAGTGGTTTTGTTTCACATGTGCAGTGCAGAACTAACCAGAACAAACCTGCTATCACAGCCTGGTGTGTCATCTGTTTCCTGTGTACAACAGAGACCTGAACGAAGCAGACTTCCCCTGCTGCAGAGAGTTCCTTCGCAGAAATACCACTGACAGATTGAACATTTAGTGCTCTTGCATGGTTACCACAGCAATGCATGCTAATAAGTGCACGCTTGAGTTTACAGGAGGCCTGTCTGTACTTATACAACCCTGCTCTGAGAGAGCGGGGCCAGCTTTTCAGCCAGAATCTACCTATATTTACTGTGTAAATGCATAATAGTTTTAAGATGTATCCTAACCATAGTGACATTAATGGCCACCTCTGTGATCTGGCCCAATAACCAGTTGGCCAATATTTTATAATGTATGGCCTTAAGCATATACAACTACAATGCCTAGAGGGCTGCACTCAATAGCTCATGAATCCAAGGCTGAAATGTTAAATAGTATATTCTAAACATAGAATTGCACTACTGTTAAACCCCTACTTCACATTTAAGAGTTATATTCCGGTATAATGCTATGAAACCCAGTGGAATATGCACGTACACAATCCAATAATAAGAGTGAAGTGTTGAGAATGCTTATGTTTGTCAACACTTATATCTGATTTTCATATTCTATATAACATGGCCTGGTGCCATGGCAGGTAGAGCTCAAAGTTTTGGTCCTGGGTTCAATGCTGGGGTGGGCCACCTTCTGCATGGAGTCTGCATGTTCCCAAAGTCTACAAGGATTTTCTTTGGATGCTCCCATTTTCTCCACCCTAACGACATGCTGGCTAGGCTCACTGGACTCATCCAGCAGCTTCTCCTTCCTCTTCAGGTGTTGCTGCTTTAAAGAGGCTTAGAAAACCTGCAGGCAGACCAGACACACAGGAGCAAGACAGGACTGTTCTGCTCTGAGCTGTCCACGTGCTTGTGTGTGTCTGGAGTTGGACTGGCGTCCCACAAAGTGGTCAGCCCAGACTGGAGCCGTATGCTAGTGGGACAGACTTCTGGTTGCCATGAGCAAGGATATCTAAGAGCCTTTCTGATCATGAATAGATAGGCAAGTGGACAGAAGAATAAATAGCACAAGGGTTTGCAGAAAATTGTCAACGGATCTGGCTAACCAAATTACATCACCTGACATCTTGACAGTGCTGATGTGTGGTATAAAAAGTCTCATTTTTTAAAGCCTGTTTCCAGATCACCTTGTGCAGTTTTTCTTTTTCAAGAATATATACAGTAACTACACACTATTAGCTACTTAAGAAAATGATCTGCAGACAAATCTTATAAAGGAATACTCATACCTAGCAAAGCCTTTTTATACAGATTCTGAGAGAGGCAATTACTTCTCCAACCGCGAGAGTTAATTTGAATGTGCAGATAATCCTCAACATCCCTCATCAAGCTGATCCAGGATTCTGGTGCCTTACTGAGAGAATCACAGCTGACTGCTGGTCTGGCCGGTTCAGCCTGAATCAGCTCTTCAAAATGTCTCCCTAGCTCTGCATAAGCCTGTGCTGCTCCTGTTTAATAGCTGCTCCATGTCAGCACTGTGTGCCGTGTGCCGAAATACATCAGAGAGAGCGGACAAGGGAAACCATTCTCCAGTCTTCTTGTTCGTTGCACAAGACACACCGGCAGAGTGCTAAGATTTATGTACTGCTGCGCATGGTTCAGGATTGGTAAACACAGCTCTAATGTAAGCTAAGGGAGACATCTCTTCAGTGACAGTAGTGTAGTAACAGCGTTTAAAATAAAAACATTCAGAAGGTGGGCTTGAAATAGCTGTACATGCTTGCTTGTACCGGCAGCTTTTTTCTCACTGTGCTGCATTTTGTTTAATTTCTGTGGGAGTACAACTGTGCAATCGGTTTCCATAGAGAAGAGATTTCCTCCTTAGAAGCCAGATAGATTAGTTACATAACACCGCAGAACTCCGAGGTTTTCTTTTGTGCTGCAAGTAAACAGTAGGTGCTAAATCTCAAGGCATCATATTAATCCACGACTACACATATTAAGCCATTCAGCTTCCCCAATTAGGGGGAAGATATTCTCGTTCTCAAGATTAACGTCACAGAGCCACGGGCATCAAAAGCCTTCCTTCTGATCTTGGAGGTTCGCCTCTCTCAGTGCTCTGGAAACTTCTCGGTAATACAGTGTTCTGCCTTCTCACCTGCTCAGCACAAGCTTTGTGCACGAAACCCCCCCACTCCCTCAGGACGTCCAATCTACTGTTAGCACCGTACATACCCACAGATTAACATGTTTTCCACCTTTCACCAATGAAATAATGCCTCACACAAATCAAAGACCAGTACACAAACTGACAGAAGACAGTATCTCAGGACTGGACTCACACCCACTGGTCTAAACTAAGGGTCCTCCAGCCCTGGTTCTGGACAGCTCCAATCCAGCTACTCTTATATTTCTCCTGAAACGAAACGTTTGGTACAGAAATTGAACATTTGGAAGTGAATGATCAATTAAGCAAGTCATGTGTTCAATTAAGAGAACTCTGGTCCTGGAGAGCTGACAGGTAATCACATTTTTGCTCCTCAGTTCTCAATTTGTTTTTAACTATACAAATCAACTGGTAAATTGATCACACTATAGTTCAACTGTTCCAGGTGTTCAGAAATTGGTGATTTAGTGGTTACCTGTGAAACCTGCTGAATGAGATTCTTCAGGGCGGGAGAACCCTGATCAAAACCTTGCAGCACTACTACAGCTCCTTCTATCGCTTTCCAAGGTTAACATACAAATAGTGGACAAAAACGGGAAACACCAATGTGAAGTCACTTAATAGGATGCTGGGCCACCACAGCTGGTATAGCCTGTACATGGCATGGAATAACATCAGGAATTCTGCAGGATGGATGCAGCACCATTTTCCAACAAGAACATCATTCACTCACACCTGGCTGATGGAGGTGGAAAATACCATCTCAGGCATTCTTCCATATTATCTCACAAATGCTCGACTTGGTTCAGATACATTATATGTGAACAGCATCAGTGTCATCCAGAGCAAACCAACAGGCGGCCACAGGGACTCTGTGGATAAGGGCGCTGTTTCCTGGAAGATAGAAAAGCTGCAACATGGGGTGTAGATGATCAATCAGTCCTCAGTATCATTATTACCCATGAATATTGACCTTGTCTTCTAAGAGAATGCCAGGAAAATGTACTTCACAGTACTACTGTATCGTGCTTTGCCAGGTATGATGATTATCCACTGCTATACAACTACGGTATCCTGATCTCTGGAGGTTTTCGGTGTTTCTAATGAATCTGGCTGCTTGTGCCCCAGGCCAAACTTTACAGTCAATTGATCTGTGTCAGCTCACTTGTTTTG